CCTAACGATTAATAGAAGATTAGTAATGCATGGCAATAGCAAAAAATATACATTATATATTAATAGCATTTATTTTTCATTTAATTAAGATTCTCCCCTTGGAAAAATACTACAATCAAGTCCTATAAATCAGATATAAAAATTTGTTTTCATTTATACCAACAGAAGAGCAGAAAAATCAAACTTTCACCTACATTCACAGTTCCAAAGATCCCTTTCTCCTCCCCTTCTAGTAAATACAATTTTATTATAACAGCCTCGAAGATTACTTGATGCTCAGTCAACACATCTAAGCTGACCAGTATGAGGTAAGACAGGGGATGGATCTGATTACTGAATACAAGAAACAAAATTTGCTTTCTGGTCCTATGTGCTCTTTGGACATACAACTAAAATACCACATATTCGACTTTTGAATAGATGTTGAAATCTCTATAGTAACTTACCTAATATTAGAATAAAAGATAATAATTCCACTAATACCTGCTGGGATTAATTTCTTTGAAAGCAACAGATTATCTGCTAGTTACTCTATTGATTTATTAACTCTTATGCAATGTTTCTAATCAACTGTGCTGCATAAGTGATTATCATGTTTCCATAATAAAACAAAGGTTAAAATCCAATAGTTAATGGAACAAACAAAGTCATAAATAAATTACAGTGAAAGAAAAAAATATACTGCAGCAATTCATTCTATAGCCTTCTATTAAAAGTAGGCAGTTTGAGTCAAGTAAAAAATTATGGAACCCAAAAAGGTGAAAGATTACAAAGGCAATAAACTAAGAAGAACAGAAAGCTAAATACCGAAGAATTATGAATCTGAAGGAGACTTTGAAATTACATATTTTGTACTTATTTTATAGAATACTAAATTGAGAGCCAGAGAGATTAACTTTCCCGGCTCATGCAATAAGAGACCTATTAGGAGGTTATGACCATAGAACAATTAAAAGTTTTGCCTAAATTCTTGCTCATTCTCAGCGTGTAAAAAAAAAGATGTAAGAGGAAAGTGCATCAAACTGAGATAGAAGACAGCTCTAAATTCTAGCAGCAGGTCTGCTTCTGCGTAGTTGGGGATAATGCATTTAGACTCTGGCCCATGGTTTCTCACTTGTAAGGTGGGGACACAGGACCGGTTGTATAACCAAACGCTGAAGTCCACAAGTGATTCATTCCAATAATTAATAACTTTACAAATCAGAATTTCATATTTATGAAAATGTATAGTTTCAGCTAGGAACAGCTGCATACACACAATACAAAAAAAAACGATGAAATCTCAAAGAGCCATTAACTACCTATTAACAAAAGCCTATGGAGTTTTAAGGAGCCAGAGGTAGCCACTCATTACGAAAAACAGGCCTAGACATGAACAGCACTGTTCTTCACATTATTCGGTAAGTTCAATTTAGAGCTGGGGTATGGGTCAGTAAATTGAAAGAAACTGACTTTTTACCTTGTTTTAGGAATCTGCTTATTATAACATTTCTAAAGCTAGAACAATGGTTACTTGTAGAAACTTAAACTGAAATAACAAAATGAAAATTTTCAATAATGAAGATGTTAAGGGGCATACAGAATGAATGTTGTTTAGAAAGCAGCATATCAAGTATGAGAAAAGGCTTTTACATAATCAATTCACAGGTACTATCCAAAAATGGTATAATGTTATAATGCTTTGGGAAAGCCAGCAGAAAATAGTGTATAATGTTGAGTAATGTATAATCATTTTATGTGACTGGCTTAAAAAGGGATTAACGCCATACATAAACTCAATGAGTCTTAAAAAACAATTTACTGAAATATTTTTATATTTGAAACTTTTAACAAGTCTCTTACCTTTCCAGAATCTAGTATCTTCTGAAAGTCTTCCATTGTATTAGCCACAGCCATATGAGTCTTCAGGTCTTCAGAAGCCCTACCAAAAAACAATTAGAAAAGAATACATAATTTTTCTTACAAATAAGACAAAGTTTTAAAAAACATGTAAGACAGACTGACTGAGCACGGTGGCTTGAGCCTATAATCCTAGCACTTTGGGAGGCCGAGGTAGGATGGCTTGAGCCCAGGAGTTGGAGGTGGCAGTGAGCTATGCTGGCACCCATGGCACTCTAGCCCAGACAACAGAGGGAGACCCTGCCTCAAAAAACAAACAAACAAACAAACAAACACAGAAGATAAGCATAACTTAAAGAAAGAACAATAACCTAGAGGTCAGAAGAACTCGAATGAATCTTAACTCTCATTGGAAATGACTGGCAATTACCTTATCATTGCACATAATAATGAGCCTTAAATATACGGGAAATTTGCCAACCACACAGCAATGGGTGATCAAAGCTTGCTACTGTTAAATCTCTACTGACCAACATTCCATTCCTGGCTATGCCAATTACTACCTATGGGAGTCTGGGTTATTTCTGAAACCTCTATGGTCTTAGCTTTCCTTTCTACAAAATTGGAAAAATACTCTAGTAAGTCTAACTACCATGTAGGCTATTGTGTTAATCAAACACAAAGTCATAAAAATGTTTTGAAAAGGAAAAACACAGAAATGTACGTTATTCAAGATATTTTCACATACTGTGTAATTCGCTTTTTGAAGAACCTTGGGTTTTCAAAATGCAAATAAATACTATTCTCTTCCACATTCAAAGTAACATATTACATGAGGCCCACTCATAGGTGGTAACTCATTAAGAAAAGACATAGTTGTTTATTTCTGAATCTCAGGGCTAAGACCATGGAACTCTGTGCCAGAGATTGCTAGCTGTTTGCAAAATGTTTCCTCCTGTTTAAAAAAAAAAAAGCCACCACCACCACCCCAGGACCCCCTCCCACCAAGCTCCTTGTGCAAAAGGCAAAATCAAGCCTTGAGGCTGAATCATGCAACACCCCCTTCCAAAAGAATAGCTGTAACTAACATTGTACTTCAGCCAGATCCCCACGGAAAGGTAAAAGGCTTCAGGCATCTACAAGCACTGAACAGATCATTCATAAGGAAATTCCTTGCTGGCCTCCCATAAAGAAGGACATGCAGATTGTAACTTTGGGTATAAAGGCTAAATCTAGCTCCTAAAACTAAAGTCTGCTAGATTCCACACTAATAATGCTCATCACAAGTTTATCTTCCCAGGTGCAGAATAGAGACAAGATCATTCTTTCACCTACCCAGGGACGTTTACATAATTGATTCTTCACTCCCTAGTTCTCACACATTAACGTTATTTTATGTAAAATGTAGATTTCCTGGGCCTCACAACAACGTAATCACTTGCCTTGGCTGCCCACCCTCCTCCTTTTTCTGTGTGCTCTCTCC